ACCCTGATTGTTTCTGGATTAAGAGACAAAAGAAAAAAAATGTGTCCATTTATTTTTTGCTTAACAATAGAAACTGTCAGTTGCAGAGTGATTTTCTCCATTGAGAAAGTTAAGAGGAGATACAGGTCATTACCAAAAGCTTTAGGTTAATCAATATGATGATCACTCTATATTTGGGGGCAAAATAGCTACTCCTAATAAGTTTATTTCAGCCTCTTCCTTGGTCCCCCAAAGTGCTAAATCATTTTAGTTATATTAATAACAGAATTTTTGAAAGCTTCGAGACACAACTTGCTAAAACCGAAGCTATCTTCCCTTAGGCTGACATTAAAATTGTCCACAATCTGCCTTTTCCTGTCTCTTCAGGTTATAGCCTGGCTTTTCTCTCCTCCACGACTGCCCCGTTGTCTACACAGCTACGCACACCCTCTGTGCCTTGCTTAAACTCTTCCCTTTGTCCGGAGTGCCCTAGAACCCCTTCCTATATCACCTGCCCACTTAAATCCCATCTTTTCACTAAGTTCCAGTGAGTCCAGGCTTATCTTTCAAGCCTCCTCACCCATAGCCACCCTGACCAAGCTCCCTCTCATTTGTAAGTCAATAGTACTTTTATTGTCCATCCACTCTATTTGGCATCTTACACTCATGACCTTGATTATTTCCTGATGGCACTTCTTATCTTGTCTAGATCACGAGCCCTTTGGACAGCTGGGCCTGGGCTTGTTTAGATAATTTTTTTAATAGTCTGTGCATGTGTTCACTGTTTCTACAGCAAGTGGCTGCCTGATGTTTGTGAATGATAATGACAAAATAAAGTAGGGAAACGATGGCTGCAAGAATCAGTAAGCATCCAAGCAAGCCTTTTAGCCTCAAACAGAAGTTTGAGAGTATTAAGGGAAGGGAGGAGAGGGCATGAAAGAATCTAGCAGTTCCTTACACACAGTAAAATAATACATTGAGAGTGATGCAAACAATCGAACACTTTCAAAAAATATATTACTCATTAATGAATAAATGAAAATGTAATAAAAAACCTGTGAAAGAAAAAAGGGGTTCTAATAAATCTGCCAAGTTTGAGAGATTTAAAGTAACCTCAAAGAGTGATCTGATCATAAATTCCTAACTGGGCAGGTGGTGGTGGGTAGTCACACCGCAGGCCTGTAACTTCTCTAGTAAAGTTTTTAAGCAAGTGCTGTCCATTGATCTTGTGCATCTAAGTTAACATACCTTTGAGATACCTGAGGAATCCCCTTTTTCAGACCCCAGAGAGGCATAACCATCCTTGAGGGAGCACATAGCTTGTTAACTATATTTCCCCCACTTTCTTTCTCCCACCTTCATGTAATCTTCCTTACTGCCCTCAATTCCAAATGTACAAAAAAAACTGCAGAATTGTCCATCACCAGAATATTTGAGATCCTACTTCTTGGCATGTCATCAGTTTGGTTCAAATAAACTCTTATAAAAATTCTCTGCAAGTTTGGATGTTTCTTACAGCTATTTCTATAATCTTACAAGTTCTTAATATGTACCCCTGTGTTATAATTAATCCCAGACCTGTTGTAATTTATTAATATTAATAGCTGAAATAGCAGCCAGGATGTATAACATATTTTACATCTTCAAGGCTACCGGAAAGAGAAGGTATAAACACAAACTTCTCAACAACAAAGATGCATGGTGTAACTTTACTGAAAAAAACACATGTACTGGAATATATTTTCCAAAGTTTTCGATTCTTTTTGAATCACCCTACGTTTGTTGTAGGTATACTGTAAAAGGAGGGGCTCCCCTCCCCTACAAGCTGGTCTCTCACTCTGGAGGGGTGAGATAAGTGCTAAGGAACATACTGGAGGTTCTTGGTTGCATATAAGGGCATCTTCTTTCAGGTAAGAATTTCCATTCTTTAACAATATAGGCAGTTGAACTGCATGTCCAAAAGTATCTATATATATGAAAACTCTAAGTCTAGAGAGTTCCTCCAACCTTTGCTAGGCTCTTTTCATGAATATCTTACAAACTTCTGAGCAAATCTTCTAGGTATGGTGCTTAAAGGATTTTCAATGTCTGTTTTCTGTAGAACTGGAAAATAGATTAAGAAGACAGAGCTGACTTCTGGAATTGAAGACTTAGTCCAGGGCCCACCAGCCACTTGACCAGATACTTTTCTCTCTGCATCCATTGGACAGTTATAACATTTGTTCTCCCATGGCTTAAGAGTTCACTTATCAAGTCGGGATACGTATATTCACTCTGTATTATATACTCAAATTTAGCTGATAAGAGAGTAGTATTCTATGACTCAAAAGGCACACATATAACCAAATACTTATAAATCCTGTTTGACACTAAAAATATCTAATTTTATACCAATTTTTTTCCATATTTAAGAAATATTTCAATATAAATAATTTAAGTCAATGTTGGATGGTCCTGAAAATTTTCCTCTTTTAAAGGAGCCCGTCCATAAACACATATTACTTAAGAATGAGAAACACGCTTACGTGTTAAGATTTGAGAGGCAATATTCCAAAAGGCCACATGATGGCAATGTTACTTAAATAAAGTAGTAAACACATCTTCACTCTCCACTTCTACTCATTGACAATATGCATCTGCTTTCTTCTCTTAATCGTATCAATAAATGGATTTGAGAGCTATCAGTAAATGTTGATATTAGTTTTGCGTCTTTAGTCATCATTGTATTAATTATCCCAGCTTTATGTCATCTATACAATCATTAGGCATGCATTTTAACATTTCCATCTAAATTATCAATAGAAATATAGAACAAATGTGGGCAAAAATGAAGCCCCATGAAATGCCACTGGCTTGACAAAGAATCATTAAATATTCCTTAAGCAAAAATTTCAATGTAGATTAAAATGTTGGCCTTTACTGGAGGAATAAAAATGTGGGTCAACTGACGAAACTGGAATATGGATGATAGATTACGTAGTAGTGTCCATGTTAAATTTATTAAAGTTGCTATCTATATTTTAGTCATATAAGAAAATATCCTCATTCTTTGGAATGCACAGTGAAGTACACAGGCTTAAAGGGCTGTGGAAATATGCAACTCACTCTCAAATGTTTCATATAAAAATATTTTGTGTTATTGTATGTGTGTGAGGGAGTGGGGATTGAAAGAGAGAGCACAAAATGGGAAAAACGTTAACAATGACTGAATTTTGGTAAAGTTCTATGTAGCATTTTTATTCTTCTAACTTTTCTATAAATTTGATTTTTTTCCCAAATAAAAAATTTAAAAACAGTTATCTTCCCTAAAGTCTATGTCTCAAAATCACATTTCTTAAAATGAAGAACAAGAATGCCTATGAAAACTGCCTTTAGCTATTTGGTTTGATTTAGTTTGAAAGCTGCTGACGTCAGACAATGTTCACAGCATTAACTCCATGTAATTATCTCAAAATGTCAGCCAGACAGAAATGATAGCCGAAGAATGATACAGCTAGGCCTTAAGAAAGGTAAACTTAGGTTTTCTGGGCTTCTTTTAGCATAACGAACACTGACTCTTAAAGTAGGTAGGCAGACTTCTATAGGAAGTTTTGTGGGAGCTTTGAGGAAGGGTATGGGTCTATAACTGCTGAGCTATCAAAGACAAATAATGTAAGTGTGTGGACTATGGGGAGTGAGATTTCTCAATCACTGCTCCCTAAATCCTCCAATTATATATACAATTCTCCTGATCTAAAAGATTTGCTTAGATTCCAAGGGGACAGGTTCTCAAAGGGTGGTCCTCGAACCACCAGCAGGAGGAGCAGCAGCAACAGCTGCAGAAGAGGGTGGAGCTTGTTGGAAAGCCAGAATCTCAGGTTCTAACCTATACCGTGGAAATCAGAATCTGCATTTTATAAGGATCCCCTAGATTCATATGCATATTAGAGTCTAAGAGACTCTGCTGACTCTAGATCACCATTTGAAGGTAAACAGAGCAGAAAAGTACAAAGTAATCCTTAAATAAGCTGGAAAGATAGAACAGAATAAAAAGATTGGGAATAAATGCATAACATTTTAAAGTTAATTTCATAAAAAAAAATCATCTAAAAATAACTTTAGTTGATATTTGAAGCAGTAAGTGCTGAGAAGCCTGAAAATTACATATGAGTTTAAGAAAATAGCATATATCTTCAGGTACTTTGCTAAAAGGACACTAGTAAAAATCAAGAAACTCCACAAGACTGCAGTCAGTCTGTTTTCCAACTGTTCTAGATGCTGGAGATAATATACAACACACAAAAACTTATTTTGATAGTTCTTTAAAAACTATGTTTCTTCTTTATTTTAGTTACCTCTAATCACTTTGATAAGAGTACTGTAGTACCCTGTTATACAGACACTCCACGGATTTTAAATTCTTCTTTTGATGATCAAATAAATCTCAAGGTATACTTGCTAGGTGAAATAAAACAGGAATCTTAAGAGCATACTTAGATCAGGATAGACACATGCCAGTAATATTTCTGGAATCAAAATACCTACCACTGGCCTAATAATTAAATCAAGAATATCATAGTTTGTATATGTAATCTTAAAACTTGAAAAAATATGCTATGATTAGTCCTGTGGCCTCAATTTATTTAATTCTCAAAGAAATCTACCAATCCATTTAAGATGTAAGTTTAAAATAATACGGCTTTACCGTATATCTAAAATAACCTCATATCAAATTTTAGAGAAAAGAAGTACTGAGTATACAAAGAATGTATTTCCTTTTCAAACTATGAAAGCAAATCCTGGTTCCATTGGTAGAATTTCAAACTACATCGTACATAGATAAACAGAAAGAATTTATACATTAAATTATATTATAATTTTAAAAAAATGGTAGGGCAAATTAGATTTAGGTGGAGAAGGTTACTGTTAAGGTATCTGGTAGTGATGGATGATTTCTAGGGCTTTCTAGCCAAACAGGACCATGCTTAGAGGAACTGGTCCTCTTGAACACCTAGAAAGAGACCTAAAGGTAGCAACGTAGAGAGATAATCTCAAACCACTCAGCTCTCCATCTCAACAGATTTTTTCAAGTCACAGCATCAACGCTGTCAATTTCCATGAAATTTAACAGTAAATGAATTAGTCCTCTTTATCTATAACTTAATAAAAGAAAAAGAACTTACATCTTTCAGCTGTATTTCCATTTCATGAATATTACTCATTGATGAGTTGAAGCAGCTTGTAGCTACAGTCTGTAAATAAACCAATATTAGTGAACATCATAAATTTATAAATTTAATAAAAGAAGTTTCTTCATTATATTTAGTTGAATAATAATACAGCAAACTTTACAGGGGCATCCCCAAATCCAGATCTAGTATATGCTGGTGAACCTCATGCAGATGAACAGTATCAGAGAATTAAGATCTTCTGGAAGTGTCCTAAGCGGACTGGAAACCTTGAGATTTCATATCTAATTTGACTTCTGAGGTCTTCTGGACCCCAGGATCACCAGAATAACCCTCAGTGCACATGAATAGCCCAGCAGTTTTCACCAAAAGCAGATAAAACAAAAATAACTATTTAAATGAAATCTGGAAAATACTACATTGTCAAAAAATAAAAGTTATTTTCTAGAATTATATTTGTATTAGTATTATTATTAGTTCATATAGATTATATGGAACTCAAAACATAATTTCTCTCTTCTTTTTTTCATTTTCTCACAGGGAAAAAAGAGAAGTAGGTGGTTAGGTACACAGGCTAGC